CTTTGCAGGGTAAAGTCCCCCTCTATGCTGTCTTCAGAGACTGGCATTGAATGTCTGCGGCTTTTCCAGGCACATAGTGCAAGCTATTGGGTCTACTATTTGGGGTTCTGGAGGATGGTGGCCTTCTTCTCACAACTCCACTAGGCAGTGCCCCAGTGGAGACTCTGTGTGGGGGCTCCAACCTCACATTTCTTTACCACCCTGCCCTAGCAGAGGTTCTCCATAAGGGCTTCACTCATGCAGCAAACTTCTGCCTGGACTTCCAGGGGTTTCCATACTCCTCTGAAATTTATGTGGAGGTTCCCAAACCTAAATTCTTATCTTCTGTGTACCCACAGGCCCAACACAACATGGAAGCTGCCAAGACTTGAGGCTTGCACCCTCTGAAGCAATAGCCTGAGCTGTACCTTGGCCCCTTTTAGCCATGGCTAGAGTCACTGGGACACAAGGCACCAAGTCCTAAGGCTGCACATAGCACGGGGGGCCTAGACCCAGCCCACAAAACCATTTTTCCTTCCTAGGCCTCCAGTCCTGTGATGGGAGGGTCTGCTGCAAAGGTCTCTGATATGCTCTGAAGCCATTTTCCACATTGCCTTGGCGATTAATATTTGGCTCCTCCTTATTTGTGGAAATTTCTTTAGCCAGTATTTCTGCAGCTGGCTTGAATTTCTCCCCAGAAAATGGGTTTTTCTTTTATACCACATGGTCAGTCTGCAAATTTTCCAAACTTTTATGGTCTGCTTCCCTTTTAAACCTAAATTCCAATTTCAGATCATCTCTCTCAAGTTCATAGTTCCATAGATCTCTAGGGCAGGGGCAAAAATGCCACCAGTCTCTTTGCTAAAGCATAGTAAGAGTGACCTTTGCTCCAGTTCCCAACAAGTTCCTCATCTCCATCTGAGACTCAGCCTGGACTTCATTGTCCACAACATTATCAACATTTTGGTCAAAACCATTCAACAAGCCTCTAGGAAGTTCCAAACTTTTCCACATCTTCCTTTCTTCTTCTGAGCTCTCCAAACTGTTCCAACCTCTGCCTGTTACCCAGTTCCAAAGTCACTTGCACATTTTCAAGTATCTTTATAGCAGTACCCCACTCTCCATGGCACCAATTTACTGTATTAGTCCATTCTCACACTGCTATAAAGACAAACCCAAGACTGGGTCATTTATAAAGGAAAGAGCTTTAATTGACTCACAGTTCCATGTTGCTGTGGGGGCCTCAGGAAACTTATAATCCTGGCAGAAGGTGAGAGAGATGCAAAGCCATGTCTTATATAGTGGCAAGCAAGAAAGAGAGAGGAAGAGCTTGCAAGTGAAGGGATAAGGGCTCCTTATAAAACCATCAGGTCTCATAAGAACTCACTATGATGAGGGCAGCAGGTGGAAAACTGCCCCCATGATCCAATCATCTCCCACCAGGTCCCATCCTCAACACGTGGGGATTATGGGGATTACAATTCAAATTGAGATTTGGTGGGGGACACAGAGCCAAACCATGTTAAATCTGGTGTGACCTCATGCTGGGAAACAATCAATGGATTCACTATTAAATACATTAGCCTGTTATTTACCACACTCAAAAATTAGCCTTGTTAATGTGGAATTCTCTAAGGGGCATAGCAAGAGTGATCTGTGCCACAGTTCCCAATTTGTTCTGCTCCACTGAGATGACAGTGAAGATTTGAGCAATGTAGTTAACTCTAGAGAATATGTTCAAATTGAAAAACTGTAAGAGAAAAGGGGAAAAAAAGGAGGTATCGCGGAGGAGAATGGAAACTTCAACACCAGTGGCCGAATAGGAACAGTTCCGGTCTGCAGCTCCCAGCATGATCGACGCAGAAGATGGGTGATTTCTGTATTTCTAACTGAGGTACCTGGTTCATCTCATTGGGACTGGTTGTATAGTGGGTGCAGCTGACTGAGGGTGAGCTGAAGCAGGGCGGGGTATCATCTTACCTAGGAAGTGCAAGAGGGTGAGGGATTTCCCCTTCCTAGACAAGGGAAGCTGTGACAGACTGTACCTGGAAAAATGGAACACTGCTGCCCAAATACTGTGCTTTTCCCAAGGTCTTATTAACCAGCAGACAAGGAGATTCTCTCCCTTGCCTGGCTCAGTGGCTCCCACGCCCATGGAGTCTTGCTCACTGCTAGTGCAGCAGTCTGAGATTGAACTGCAAGGCAGCAGCCTGGCTGGGGGAGGGTTGTCTGCCATTGCTGAGGCTCAAGTAGGTAAACAAAGCAGCTGAGAAACTCAAACTGAGTGGAGCCCACCACAGCTCAGCAAGGCCTACTGCCTCTATAGACTCCACCTCTGTGGGCAGGGCATATCTGAACAAAAGGCAGCAGACAACTTCTGCAGACTTAAACATTCCTGTCTGACAGCTCTGAAGAGAGCAGTGGTTCTCCCAGTATGGCATTTGAGCTCTGAGAACAGACAGACTGCCTCAAGTGGTTACCTGACCCCTGTGTAGCCTGGCTGGGAAATACCTCCCAGTAGGAGCTGACAGGCACCTCATATAGGCGGGTGCCCCTTTGGTACGAAGCTTCCAGAGAAAGGATCAGGCAGCAATATTTACTGTTCTGCAATATTTGCTGTTCTGCAGCCTTAGCTAGTGATACCCATACAAACAGTGTTTGCAGTAGACCTCCAGCAAATTCCAACAGACCTGCAGCTGAGGGACCTGACTGTTAGAAGAAAAACTAACAAACAGAAAGGAATAGTATAAACATCAACAAAAAGGACATCTACACCAAAACCCCATCTGTAGTTAACCAACATGAAAGACCAAAGGTAGATAAAACCACAAAGATGGGGAGAAACTAGAGTAGAAAAGTTGAAAATTCTAAAAACCATAGTGCCTCTTCTCCTCCAAAGAATTGCAGCTCATTGCCAGCAATGGAACAAAGCTGGATGGAGAATTACTTTGACAAGTTGACAGAAGTAGGCTTCAGAAGTTTTGTAATAACAAACTTCTCCAAGCTAAAGGAGCATGTTTGAACCTATCGCAAGGAAGCTAAAAACCTTGAAAAAAGGTTAGACGAATGGCTAACTAGAATAAACAGTGTAGAGAAGACCTTAAATGACCCGAAGGAGTTGAAAAGCATGGCATGAGAACTTCGTGACGCATGCACAAGCTTCAATAGTCAATTAGATCAAGTGGAATAAAGGGTATCAGTGACTGAAGATTATATTAATGAAATAAAGCAGGAAGACTAGGTTAGAGAAAAAAGAGTAAAAAGAAACAAGCAAAGCCTACAAGAAATATGGGACTATGTGAAAACACCAAATCTACATTTGATTGGTGTACCTGAAAGTGATGGGGAGAATGGAAACAAGTTGGAAAACACTCTTCAGGATAGTATCCAGGAGAACTTCCCCAACCTAGCAAGGCAGGTCAACATTCAAATTCAGGAAATACAGAGAACATCACAAAGATACTTCTCAAGAAGAACAACCCCAAGACACATAATTGTCAAATTCACCAAGGTTGAAATGAAGGAAAAAATATTAAGGGCAGCCAGAGAGAAAGGTTGGGTCACCCACAAAGGGAAGCCCATCAGACTAACAGCATATCTCTCTGCAGAAACCCTACAAGCTAGAAGACAGTGGGGGCCAATATTCAACATTCTTAAAGAAAAGAATTTTCAACCTGGAATTTCACATTCTGTCAAACTAAGCTTCATAAGTGAAGGAGAAATAAAATCCTTTACAGACAAGCAAATGCTGAGAGATTTTGTCACCACCAGGCCTACCTTACAAGAGCTCCTGAAGGAAGCACTAAACATGGAAAGAAACTGGTACCAGCCACTGCAAAAACATGCTAAATTGTAAAGATGATTGATGCTGTGAAGAAACTACATCAATTAACAGGTAAAATAACCAGCTAACATCATAATGACAGGATCAAATTAACACATAAACATTAACATTAAATGTAAACGGGCTAAATGCCCCAATTAAAAGACACAGACTGGCAAATTGGATAAAGAGTCAAGGCCCATCAGTGTGCTGTATTCAGGAGGCCCATCTCACATGCAGAGACACACACAGGCTCAAAATAAAGGGATGGAGGAAGATCTACCAAGCAAATGGAAAACAAAAAAAGGCAGGGGTTGCAATCCTAGTCTCGATGAAACAGACTTTAAACCAACAAAAATCAAAAGAGACAGAGAAGGCCATACATATGGTAAAGGGATCAATTGAACAAGAAGAGCTTACCATCCTAAATATATATGCACCCAATACAGGAGCACCCAGATTCCTAAAGCAAGTTCTTACAGACCTACAAAGAGACTTAGACTCCCACACAATAATAATGGGACACTTTAACACCCCACTGTCAATATTAGACAGATCAATGAGACAGAAGGTTAACAAGGATATCCAGGACTTGAACTCAGCTCTGCACCAAGCAGACTAACAGACATCTACAGAACTCTCCACCCCAAGTCAACAGAATATACATTATTCGCAGCACCACACTGCACTTATCCTAAAATTGACCATATAATTGGAAGTAAAGCACTCCTCAGCAAATGTAAAAGATCAGAAATCACAATAAACTGTCTCTCAGACCACAGTGGAATCAAATTAGAACTCTAGATTAAGAAACTCACTCAAAATGGCACAACTACATGGAAACTGAACAACCTGCTCCTGAATGGACTATCTGGGTAAATAAAGAAGTGAAGGCAGAAATAAAGATGTTCCTGAAAACCAATGAGAATAAAGACACAACCAGAATCTCTGGGACACATTTAAAGCAGTGTGTAGTTGTCGGAAATTTATAGCATTAAATGCCCACAGGAGAAAGCAGGAAAGATCTAAAATTGACACACTAACATCACAATTAAAAGAATTAGAGAAGCAAGAGCAAACAAATTCAAAATCTAGCAGAAGGGAAGAAATAACTAAGATCAGAGCAGAACCGAAAGAGATAGAGACACAAAAAAACCCTTCAAAAAAAATCAACGAATCCAGGAGCTGGTTTTTTGAAAAGATCAACAAAATTGATAGACCACTAGTAAGATTAATAAAGAAGAAAAGAGGGAAGAATAAAATAGATGCAACAAAAATGATAAAGGGAATATAACCACTGATCCCATGGAAACACAAACTACCATCAGAGAATACTATAAACACCTCAATGCAAATAAACTAGAAAATCTAGAAGAAATGGATAAATTCCTGGACACATACACCCTTGCAAGACTAAAACAGGAAGAAGTTGAACCTCTGAATAGACCAATAACAGGCTCTGAAATTGAGGCAATAATTAATAGCCTACCAACGAAAAAAAGTCCAGGACCAGATGGATTCACAGCCGAATTCTACCAGAAGTACAAACAGGAGCTGGTACCATTCCTTCTGAAACTATTCCAATCAATAGAAAAAGAGGGAATCCTCCCTAACTCATTTTCTGAGGCCAGCATCATCCTGATACCAAAGGTTGGTAGAGACACAACAACAAAAAAAGAGAATTTTAGACCAATATCCCTGATGAACATCGATGCAAAAATCCTCAATAAAATACTGGCAAACCAAATCCAGCAGCACATTGAAAAGCTTATCCACCACGATCAAGTTGGCCTCATCCCTCAGATGCAAGGCTGGTTCAACATATGCGAATCAATAAACATAATCCATCACATAAACAGAACCAATGACAAAACCACATGATTATTTCAATAGATGCAGAAAAGGCCTTCGACAAAATTCAATATCCCTTTGTGCTAAAAACTTGCAATAAACTAGGTATTGATGGAATGTATCTCAAAATAATAAGAGCTATTTATGACAAACCCACAGCCAATATCATACTGAATGGGCACAAACTGGAAGCATTCCCTTTGAAAACTGGCACAAGACAAGGATGCCCTCTATCACCACTCCTATTCAACATACTGTTGGAAGTTCTGGCCAGGGCAATCAGGCAAGAGAAATAAATAGAGAGTATTCAATTAGGAAAAGAGGAAGTCAAATTGTCACTGTTTGCAGATGACATGATTGTATATTTAGAAAACCCCATCATCTCAGCCCAAAATCTCAAGTTGATAAGCAACTTCAGCAAAGTCTCAGGATACAAAATCAATGTGCAAAAATCACAAGCATTTCTATACACCAATAACAGACAAACAGAGAGCCAAATCATGAGTGAACTCCCATTCACAATTGCTACAAAGAGAATGAAATACCTAGGAATGCAACTTAAAAGGGATGTGAAGGACCTCTTCAAGGAGAACTACAAACCACTGCTCAATGAAATAAAAGAGGACACAAACACATGGAAGAACATTCCATGCTCATGGATAGGAAGAATCAATATCATGAAAATGGCCATACTGCCCAAGGTAATTTATAGATTCAATGCCATCCCCATCAAACTACCAATGACATCCTTCACAGAATTGGAAGAAACTAGTTTAAAGTTCATATGGAATCAAAAAAGAGCCTGCATTGCCAAGACAATCCTAAGCCAAAAGAACAAAACTGGAGGCATCACGCTATCTGACTTCAAACTATACTACAAGGCTACAGTAACCAAAACAGCATGGTACTGGTACCAAAAAAGATATATAGACCAATGGAACAGAACAGTGGGCTCAGAAATAACACCACACATCTACAACCATCTGATCTTTGAAAAACCTGACAAAAACAAGAAATGGGGAAAGGATTCCCTATTTAATAAATGGTGCTGGGAAAACTGGCTAACCACATGTAAAAAGCTGGAAGTGGATTCCCTTCCTTACACCTTATACAAAAATTAATTCCAGATGGATTAAAGACTCAAATGTTAGACCTAAAACCATAAAAACCCTAGAAGAAAACCTAGGCAATATCATTCAGGACTTAGGCATGGGCAAGGACTTCATGACTAAAACACCAAAAGCAATGGCAACAATAGCCAAAATAGACAAATGGGATCTAATTAAACTAAAGAGCTTATCCACAGCAAAAGAAACTACTATCAGAGTGAACAGACAACCTACAGAATGGTAGAAAATTTTTGCAATCTACCCATCTGACAAAGGGCTAATATCCAGAACCTACAAATAACTCAAACACATTTATAAGAGAAAAAAAAAAAAATCAAAAAGTGGGCAAGGGATATGAACAGACACTTCGCAAAAGAAGACATTTACGCAGTCAAAAGACACATGAATAAATGCTCATCATCCCTGGTCATCAGAGAAATGCAAATCAAAACCACAATGTGATATCATCTCACGCTAGTTAGAATGGTGATCATTAAAAAGTCAGGAAACAACAGATGCTGGAGAGGATGTGGAGAAATAGGAATGCTTTTACCCTGTTGGTGGAAGTGTAAATTAGTTCAACCATTGTGGAAGACAGTGTGGCGATTCCTCAAGGATCTAGAACTAGAAATACCACTTGACCCAGCAATACCATTACTGGGTATATACCCAAAGGACTATAAATGATGCTACTCTAAAGACACACACACGTATGTTTATTGTGGCACTATTCACAATAGCAAAGACCTGGAACCAACCCAAATGTCCATCAATGATAGACTGGATTAAGCAAATGTGGCATATATACACTATGGAATACTATGTAGCCATAAAAAAGGATGAGTTCATGTCCTTTGCAGGGACATGGATGAAGCTGGAAACCATCATTCTCAGCAAACTATCACATGGACAGAAAACCAAACACTGCATGTTCTCACTCATAGGTGGGAATTGAACAATGAGAACACTGGACACAGGCCAGGGAACATTACACACCAGGGCCTGTTTGGGGGTGGGGAACTCGGGGAGGGATAGCATCAGGAAAAATACCTAATGTGAATGACGAGTTGATAGGTGCAGCAAACCAACACGGCCCATGTATACCTATGTATCAAACCTGCACGTTGTGCACATGTACCCTAGAACTTAAAGTATAATAATAAAAAAGAAAGAAAGGAAGAGAAACTGCAAGAAAAGGGCAACAGTCACTATTTAAATGCCATCCCACTTTTCAACAATTTTACAAACCTAATAAATACATATTTTATAATTGAATAACTACATTGCATAAGGGGGAAAACCACCAATGAAAAAATCATCATGTGGTTTGATCAAAAAGAAAAATGAAGCTTAGAGTCTTTCGCAATAATACCTATGTTAATAAAAAGAAGTACGGAAATAAGAATACAAAAGGCTCTAAAGTCATGGAAGTTCATATACATTCGGTGAATATGACATAAAAAGGCTGAATTCTCTCACAGCGTACATGGCACACCAAGGAAAAAGAAACAATATTCAGCTCCCAGAGTACCATTTCAATGAAACCCAAATATTCTGGATTAATGAAGGCTGCCTGTGAAATGTTTGGTAAAGGAGTAGATCCCATTATAGAAACATGGAGTGGGATAGGGTGGATGTGGTGATGTGATGAGCCTCTCCTGAGAAACGCTTCCCTTCTTGGACACATGTCCATTCATCACTGTCCACAGCTTTACTGGGCTTATAGATACACAGTCTTATCTCCTCCCCAGCCCCTTCCGCCATTTCTTGATAATTTCAGCATTCCAAGTAGAAGACTTATTTGAGATGCAACCATCACTGTGCCTACCAAACTCTGAGATGTCCCCACCTCATGCACCAGACCCCAAATCCGGACCAGAAAATCTTTTGTCAGCACAGATCCCTGTCTGGAAACTGAATTTCATGTGTCATTCTCTAATCACAGACATCCATCCCAACTTAACTGCACCACTTCCACTGAACTGAGTCAACCTCTTTGACACTTCTAGTTCCTGTGAGTGCTTAGGTCTCCTGTGGTCACCTCTCTATCTTTCGCAAGACAGGACCACTAAAAATTATTATGTCAACAATTGTAATTTGCTGTTGCATCATCTTTCCCCTGAAAATCACACAAGCAAAAAATCCAGGATGGATCGGTTCCAAACGTAGTGTCCCTATTCCTGCCCAGCTGAAGGACATGCACAACCATGAAGATGGTGCTTTCACAAACCAACAGTCTCCATGAGTCACACCAGTCCTTGTCCATCCTTTGACAAACATTCTTGTCTACTTCTTCTTCCTTGCAGTGACCATTTAAAACCTGAAATACACTACTAGAGACCACTTAACAGTTTATCTCACTGAAGGCTATTATGACAATGAGAAGCAGAAATGAAATCTTTGGAAAGATAAGTAGATATGGAAGCAATTGTAAGTAAATACATTTTTTAAAAAAGTGTTTTGCCTGGCACTTTGATTGGATGAAGGCACCAGCACAGACCTGAGATAGTGGCTTCCTGTTGGCACAGTTGATGCCCCCAATGAAGACCATGTTGGGCATGATCGGCCTGGGGTAGTCCATCACAAAGTCCCCTCGGAACAGCCACACGGATGCATGGCTGAGAAGATCCACCACTGACACCTCTCTCTCAAAAAGCTCAGAGGCAAGGCTTGCATAAGGGGCAGAAACAGCATGGCAAATGTAGGACAGGGCCAGAGGATAGAGCATGTTCTTGACCCTTTGCAGGAATGTCATGTGGTCTGAATTGGTTGTTAGTAATTTAGGAATATAGGAGTAAGGGTTTGGACACTGTGTGCCCTTAAAGTCTAAGTCACATGGAATGTTCCTCAAAAAAAACACAGTAGGAATCGACAGGTACTTAGCCAGCACCACCCCACAGAGGTTAACGGGGTCTGTTAACAGCACATCAAAGGAAGTAGCATTCAGGTGCCTGATCAGGGCCTCATTATGCAGTAGCTCCACACAAGACCTATGAAAGACCAAAGACATATTGTTCATAATTGCCATACTTCTAGAATATCTCTTCAGAAGATGTTCTGTTTCAAAGAACCATTGAGTGTGGCCCAGCACAAAACCATCAAATTCATCCTGGGTCCATGGAATGGCATAGGTTGTCAGGGTGAAAAAGTTCTCTTCTTTGACGTGCATTTTCACCTCCGGAGTGAGGACCACCGCCTGGTGGCCTCTGGCATGGAGCTCCCGCACGGCCTCCCGCATGCTGAGCCAGTGGCTGCCATCAATGGGCACCACCAGCACCTTCCCACTCTCAGTCCAGGGCTGGACACTGAGGAGGAGCAGCAGTCCTGTGGCCAACCGCGTCAGGGGAACCTGGAGTCCTGCGGCCATTTCAGCAGAAGCCACTGACAACTGACTGTCCACCCCACGCTGTGCATCCTACCTTTGCTTTCTTCATCTTAATTACCTTGTCACTGAGCCACCTAGCAAATCAACACGCAATTGGAAGACAGAGTGCCCTCCTCCAGTTAATTATTAACCATTAATCTATCATTGTTTTTCATTGTGGGCCCCACACTGGAAAAGACCAATCATGCCTATCTTGAAAAAGTCATCTGACCCTGCGCTCGCTCTGGGGAACATCCAAGTTTACGCTCTTGTTTCTTATCCAATTCCCAACACAAGGCTGTGAACACCCATTTCATGTCACTGCCTCCTACTTCTCTGTTAACCATGTTTATCAGGCTGCAGCTGAGGTCTGAGGAGTCAACATTGCCCTGGTCCCTAATCATATGCTCTCAGCTGGATGACCCTATTTGCTAACCCTTAAAACTCTTTCTTCTCCTGTATAAGTAACACAGCACATCCAAGAAACAGACAACATTGCTAAGCAAACTTTCTCTAGCAGGGACTGGGGAGGCTGGCTATTTGGTTTTGGTCATTTTTTGCAGCAGGATATTTATTGTAAGGATCAAAGAGGACTCTCTCTGAAGTGGCTGTCAATATATAAAAAGCTGCAGGGAGGCTGAGCTCAAGATGTGATGATCGGATTCTTGGGAAGGCTTTGTTGAGAATTCTCCATCTACACCATGGGATAAGATGTGCTGCTGTCTAAAGCACACATGGGAAAGACAACCCTAGCAAGGACCCACGGTGGGTTCAGGGAGCTCCCTGCTCACCAAGGGACCCGGGTTAACTGGAGCCTGGCCTCAGATCTTGCAAAGTCTGAATTTCTCTTCTGAATGCTGAAGGCTCCAGTCTTCTGCAAGTCTGCTTAAAGACTAAAGTGTCCATTCACCCAGGCCTTTATTTCATCCTGAAGGTTATGGTCAGGGTTTTCTCCAAGTCAATCTAGCACCAAGTTCTGATAAGAATGGTTCCTCCAGAACAGAATGGGCTGCACAATTTGTGGGGGCCCTAGGTCAAATTTCAAGATGGAGAATTAAATGTGTGCCTTTCTAAGGGAGATACCCTGAGCACTCACAAGGGTCTCATGTCCATGAGGCTCGTCCTGCTCCAGAAAGTCACTCCTGCATATGCTCGAAGATTGCTGATGCCTCCTTGTCCTAGTCGCCTCAGGATGATGTGGGCAGGCTCTCTGGGGTGTGCACTTTCTATCTCACTGCCTCTGTGTCTTCTTGCCTGGCTGTGTCTGCCATTGCTGGTGAGACTGAGGCTTCCCTTAGGGAGAAAGTTACTCCCATGAGAAGTCCACATTCATAACATATTCCACCTTTGGACAGAACCCATGGGACAGGCAGTGAATGGAAGCATCTACCAGGGGGATATCCAGCTCAAGGGCAGCACACTCAGGATGGAACAGAGAAGGCGGGTCTGCAAGAGCTTTAGGAACTCTCCAGTAGAGCATGATTCCTGGGGAGTTGTAAGGACATAGAGCACTAGAAAGGGATTCTCAGCTGTGGGTGCAACATCTCAGCCTCTGAACTATTCCTCCAACCCCCTTAAAACTATATGCCTCCTAAGCACCCTCCTGGTGAGCCCAGGTGAGGGGTGGAACACGCTTGGGAGGGTGCTCTTCCCACATTCATGGGCTCCTGTGTTCTACCTCCAAGTAGTGGTGTTTTATTTAGACAGTGAAGTCATCTGATTCTTGTCACATGTCTGGGACTCCCAGACTCTGGGGAGGCCCATGTACCTTGGAAGATGGTGGTACTCCAGAGACCTAGGGGGCCCTGAGGAGAGCAGAACTATAGGGAGGGAGGAGCTCCTGGTGCCTGGGAAACAGGAGGAGCTGCCCAGGGCATCAGCTTCCAGGGTTTGGAGATGAGGAGGGGTCTGGGCTGCACAGATAGACTTGGAGCCATCAGCATATGTGGTGGTTGAAGCCATGGGTGTCAGTGAGGTCACCCCAGCAAAGTCCAGAGACAGAAAAAGCCATCCCGAAAGCCGGACCTGTGTGGTCTTGTTCCCCTCTGCCAATCTCACAGAGCTAAACATACAAACTGGAATCCTTTAACGTTTGTAAGAGAAGACAGAAACAAATCTTCACATCTTGGAGAAGACAAAGATTGCTTAGGGTACAAAAACTACAAATGGTAAAACTTGCTAGAATGAACCTCATCAAAATCTAAAACTTTTGCTCTTTGAAAGGTATTGTTTTTTAAAAATTAAAAAAGGAAGATCAGGAGAAAAGGAGATAATTGAATGGTAAGCTGATAGCTCTGAAGGCTGGAGAATAGAACTCTATGGAAGACAGGAAGAAAAATTTAAATGGCCAAATAGAGGAAAATCTCCTAGCTTTGAATACGACGTGGGTTTCACTTTAAGCTTAGTGTCTGTGGTAGGCAGAATCACAGCCCCACAAAAGTATCTACATTGTAGTTCCTCAAACCTGGGAATATGTTCCATTACAGATGGAAGAGACTTCACAGATCTGATTAAATTAAGGGTTTTGAGTTGGAGAGATCATCCTGGATGTCTGGGTGGGACGATGTAATCACAAGGGCTCTTACAAGTGAAAGAGACAGGTGTAAGAGTGGGAGACTTGAAGACGCTGCACTGCATCTCCCTAAAAATGGAAAAGTACCATGAAATTCCAAAATGAATAAGGAAAAAGGAAATTTCTGTTAATATGAGCTTACATTCAGCAGAAAGAACAAGATTAAGAACAGACAGAATCAGAATGCCGACATCAAAAGAAACTACGAGATTGAAGCAATTTTGGTTTTTGTTGTGTTTTAAACAAATAAATAATTTAAAAAAAAACACAGGTACTGAAACTCCTGAGTTCAGTGATCCTCCCACCTAAGCCTCCCAAGTAGCTGGGACCACAGGCGCATGCCACCGCACCCAGCTTTTCATATTGGAGTTTTAAAAAATGTTTTCTAAACTTTTTTAACAAGATTTCCACATGCCAAAGAAATTTTTATTTTTTTGAAATGGGGCCTCGCTCTGTCACTCAGGCTGGAGTGAGGTGGCATGAATATGGCACACTGCAGCTTCCACCTCCTGGGATCACGTGATCCTCCTGCCTCAGTCTACTGAGTGGCTGGGACCACAGGCATGTGCCATCGCAACTGGATAATTTTTTGGTTTTCTGTAGAGATGGAGTCTCAGCATGTTGCCCAGGCTGCTCTCAGACTTCTGGGTTCAAACAATCCTCCTGCCTCAGTCTCGCAAAGAGTTGAAATTACAGGTATGAGCAACCCACCTGCACACAAATCATTTTTAAATGAAAAGAGATGGAGAATTTAAAAAAATAACATAGGAGTAGCAATACTGGTATCAGATAAAACGGATTTTAAGGGTTATTATTTAATGATAACAGCAAACTATGTGAAGAAAATACAAGTCTCAAACCTACATGCACCGATCTAATCACTACGTATAAAGCAAAAACTATTCAAGTACCAAAATATAACTGGAGCAGAATTTGTTATGTAAGGGGATTTTTTAAAAGACATCCTTCCCAGAATTGGGCAGGATCAGTAGAGCGTCATTTAAAAGATAGAAAAATTGGCCCAGTGTGGTGGCACACGCCTGTAATCCCAGCACTTTGGGAGGTCGAGGCTAGTGAATCACTAGAGGTCAGGAGTTTGAGACCAGTCTGGCCAACATGATGAAAGCCTAACTCCACAAAAAATTTTTAAAAATTAAAAAAATAGCTGAGCATGGTGCTGTGCACCTGTAGTCCCAGCTACTTGGGAGGATGAGGCAGGAGAATCAGTTGAACGTGGGAGGTAGAAGTTGCAATGAGCCGAGATTCCACCACTGCACTCCAGCCTGGGAAACAGAGCGAGACTCGTTCTCAAAAAAGAAGAAAAGGCCGGGTGGGGTGGCTCAAGCCTGTAATCCCAGCACTTTGGGAGGCCGAGATGGGCGGATCACGAGGTCAGGAGATTGATACCGTCCTGGCGCCTGTAGCCCCAGCTACTCGGGAGGCTGAGGCAGGAGAATGGCATGAACCCGGGAGGCAGAGCTTGCAGTGAGCTGAGATCGCGCCACTGCACTCCAACCTGCGACAGAGCGAGACTCAGTCCCACAAAAAAAAAAAAAATCGAAAAGATAGAATTGTAGTTGTGTCCATGGAACATTTATAAACATTGACCATATTGTTGTCACTAACTGCATAGGACTACGGAGCACTTGAACTGTGGCTATTCCAAATGGAGATATGCTGTGTCAGACATACGCTAGATTCTGAAGACTTAACAAGAAAAAAACTATGTCAAATAGTTAAGTCATAATCTCATATTGAATACATGTTGAAAGGATAATATTTGGGATACATCTGGCTAAATAAAATGCATTATTCAAATTAATTTCAGCGGTTTCTTTTTTGCTGGTTTCTAACATGCCCACTAGAAGAGTTTAAATTATGTATGTGGCTTACATTATATTTCTATTGGACAATTCTGCATTAGACCGTCAAGGTAACCTATTAAGAATTTTTTTAAGTAGTGTCTTCACAAGAAACATTCTTATTATAATCCAAAATAACCAGAAAAAATAAGAAGGAGATGACTACAAAATTATTAACGATATCAGAATTAGGAAACAGACTTACAGACAGTCACTGCATCAAAGGAGAAATTTTAAAACTGATATTTAAATTATCTAAAAGCAGTGACAAGAACAGCAATTTTTACCAAAACCTAAGGGACATAGAAAAAGTTTTACTCAGACCCCTCAATATTTCATTAAGGAAAATCAAATGTAAAGAAACGTAACATTCCTCTAACGCAGTTACAAAAGCAGCTACAAATTAACCAAAAGAAACTAGGATGAAATCATTAAGGCAAAAATAAGCTGCAATTAATGAAACAGAAAATGAAACAGTAAAAAGAATATACAAATTCCACAGTTATTTCTTTAAGAAGACCAATCAAATAATTCAACCTATCATAAACTTTAAATTAAGGAGAAAGAGAGGGAGAAAAAGCATAAGATTTTGACTGTAGTCTTGGATATTTGCAGAAAAATTTCAAATCTAAGGGTCAACCAAACCAAGTAAGTAAGGGTGACAAAATAACAAAGGAAATTAATGTAATAAAAATGATAATGGCATGCCTATCACAGATAATACATAATAAAGATTTTGGTATAAATGATCTTTCATGCACTCAGTAAATTGGCATGAACGTGGCAAAGGTCTCCAGGTGAAACACCTTGTTCTGCAGGAGTCTTTTAAACTCTAGTAATGATGATGACAGTTCTTCCTCTAAGAGGCCTAAGGTGATCTGTGAAAATTCTTCTTTATTCACTTGACCCAGAAACACCACAAAATCATGCAAATCAAGAGGTTTCAGTTTTCCTGTTCACTTAAAGGACATTCGTGAAACTACCCAGGCCATCAAGTATATGCATATACAAAGAGCCACCAAGTGTCTGAAAGCTGTCACTTTACGGAAGCAGTGTGTACCATTTCAATGTTGCAATGGAGGGCCTGGCAACGTGCCCAGGGCCGAACAGTGGGGCTGGACACAGGGTCGGTGGCCCAAATAGGGTGCTGGATTTTAGATGCGCATGCTTCAAAATGCAAAGCATAATGCTGAATGTCAGGATTTAGGTGCAGATTCTCTCATCATTAAGCATATCCAAGTAAACAAAGCATCCAAATGAGCCATGGGTCTTGCAGAGCTCATTATTGGATTAACCCTTACATGACCCCCACTGCCATATCAAGATGATTTTTACTGATAAGGAACAAATTGTTCCTAAACCTGAGGATGAGGTTGCACAGGAGAAAAAGATATCCCAGAAGAAACTGAAGAAAAAAAATGCCTCTGGCTCTGGAATAAATTCAGCTTAAAATAAATGCAATAAAACTAAAATAATAATAATAATGATAACACATAATATTTATTGGGTGCTCTCTATAACAATATTAAAACCACAATGGTTAGGGTACCTGTCCTAGGTCACATAGCTAGAAAAATGAGAGGGAAGATTTGAGCCAGTGCAGTTCAGTCTAAAGAACATATTCATTGTGAAAAACCAGAAGAAAAGAGCCACAGTCACTATTCAAATGTCTTCCTAATTTTCTACATTTTTACAAATCTAAAGAACATATATATTTTTTACAGCTCAGTAACTACATTGCACAAGGGGAAAAGAAAACCAGTAGAACAAATATCTTGTGGTTTGATCAAAAACAAAAATAAAGTTTAGTGTCCTTTGCAATAATACCTACACTAATAAAAGGAAGTACAGAAATAAGAATACAAAGGACCTAAACTCATGGAAGTTCATATAAATTCAGTGAATATGACAAAAAAAGGGCTCAGTTCTCTCACAAGAAAGATGGTTCCCTCTCTGGGTACGGTGGCTCATACCTATAATCCAAGCACTTTGGGAGGCTGAGGCAGGCAGATCACATGAGGTCAGGAGTTCAAGACCAGCCTGGCTAACACGGTAAAACCTTGTCTCTAGTAAAAAAAAAAAAAAAAAAAAAAATAGCCAGGAGTGGTGGCATGTGCCTGTAGTCCCAGCTACTCAGGAGGCTGAGGCAGGAAAATCTCTTAAACCTTGGATGTGGGGCTGCAGTGAGCTGAGATGGGGCCACTGCCCTCCAGCCTGGGCTACAGGGTGAGACTCAGTCTCAAGAAAAAAAAAAAAAAAGGATGGCTCTCTCAATGGATTCAGAACCAAACTCATTGGTGTGTGAATTTGGTTTCTCAGATCCCAAAGTACTATCTCAATGAAACCCAAATACTCTGAGTTAATGAAAGCTGCCTCTGACATTTTTGGAAAAAGAATAGATCTCACTATAGAAACTTGGAGTGGGATACGGTGGGTTTGGTGATGTGCTCAGCCCCTCCAGAGAAACCCTTTCCTTCTTGGACAGATGTCCATTCATCACTGGTCCCAGCTTCACTGGGCTTATAGGTTCACAGTCTTATCTCCTCCCTAGTCCCTTCCACCCTCTCTTGATAATTTCAGCATTACAAGTAGAAGAAGACCCTTTTGACATGCAACCATCACTGTACCTTCCCAACTCTACGATGTCCCCACATCATACACCAGACCCCCAACTCCTGGTCAGAAAAGCTTCTGTCAGCACAGATCCCTCTCTGGAAACTGAACTCCATGTTTCATTCTCTGATCACAGATATTCATCCCACCTTCACTGTCCCACTTCCACTGAACTGAGTCAACCTCTTTGACACTTCTACTTCCTGTGAGTGCTTAGGTCTCCTGTGGTCACCTCTCTATCTTTGGCAAGATGGGACCACGAAAAATTATCATGCCAACAATTATAATTTACTGTTGCATCATCTTTCTACTGAAAATCAGGCAAGCCAAAAACCCCAGGATAGATCAGTTCCGAATGTAGTGTCCCTGCTCCTCCCCAACTGAAGGACATGCACAACCATGAAGATGGTGCCTTTACAAACAGTGTCTGTGAGTCACAGCAGTCCTTGCCCATCCTTTGATAGACCCTTATCCGTACCTCTTTTTCCTCTCAGTGACCACTGAAAACCTGAAATATACTACTAGAGACCACTTAACAGTTTATCTCACTGAAGACTGTTACGACAAAGAAGCAAAAATAAAATCTTTAGAAAGATAAGTAGATATGGAAGCACTTGTAGTTAATACATTTTTTAAAAAGTGTTTTGCCTGGAACATTCATTGGATGAAGGCACCAATACAGACCCGAGATAGTGGCTTCCTGTTGGCACAGTTGATGCCGCCAATGAAGACCATGTTGGGCATGATCGGCCTGGGGTAGTCCATCACAAAGTCCCCTCGGAACAG